CTCAAATTTTGCACACAAGTTCCAAATGACATAACGAACCTATTCCATCTCCTAGAACAATAATCCGAACCCGATATCATCAAAATCAATTCTCGGTCAAACTTATGAACCTTGCAGATCTTCAAATTGCCAACTTTTGCCAATTAGTTCCAAAACATTTCAGAAACGTCCAAATGCAAATCCGGGAATACGCCCAAGTCCAAAATCACCATCCGGACCTAATGGAACCATCAAAACTCATATTCGAGGTCAAATACACAAAATCCAAACTTGGTCAACTCTTCCAACTTCAAGCTTCTAAAATGAGAATTATTCTTCCAAATCAATTCCAAATCACCCGAAAACCAAAATCGACGATACACGCAAATTATAATACATCACACAAAGCTACTCATTCCCTCGAACCATCAAACGAGATACAAATGCTCAAAACGGCTGGTCGGATCGCTATAAGGATCTACACAAGAAGTGCAGAAGTGTAGTATGAGTACAACTGACCCCATATACTTTGTAAGTGCCGAGCCTAACCTCGACGAAGTAGTGATGAGTCTATGACAAGAAACTCACTATAAACATGTACGAATAATAAATGAAATACATCAGAAATATAGAGAAAACAACTAAACTCTTCAGAACGGGACTCGAAGGTCAACTAACAGAGGGCCCCAAAATAACATCATCTCAACATCCTACCGACATAGAATACCACAACTACAGACATTACAACGCATCATACTCCATTTTAGTGCGTAACCCGATCCCAACATTATCACAATATTTGTTACGGCGTGCAGCCCGATCCCAATATCATATCAATATCTGTTGTGGCGTGCAACACGTTGCCATTGGCAATTCATTTCAATACTGCTGTGACGCACAATCCATTCCCAATATCAACTCATTAAACATGAACAACTCAACACAGCCAAATTCTTTAATCTCAACACAAAAGGAAATAATCGTGTAGAACACCCAGGAAATACCAGTACAAACAAAGAATAACTAATACCTCATATTCACAAACCTCAACAATTCATACAAGAAACGCTAAAGGACTTACATAATCGGACACAATATAATAAAGTACAACAAGTAAGGTAAAAATAATAAAGGCAAGTACATGAATGAAACAATGAAAATATGCAATCAATACAGGTAGGAACATATAACAAGTTAGCAGATATTGATTGAAGGATGAATAAAACGAAATATGTAACAACTAAATGACAGATAACGAATAAGGCATGAATAGCAAGTAAGAACATGTAGAAATCAAAGCAGGTAACGATATATAAACATAGAATAAGCGATAACATAAAGGTAAATAGCACAACCTGCATGTTTTAACCTATGATAACACATATACACTCGTCACCTCGCATATACGCCGTCCCCATACATAATTCACATAGCAAATAGACCAACAAGTTCTATTTCCCTCAAGTCAAAGTTAAACATGACACTTACTTCATTACGCAACCAAATCAATAACTAACCACGACTTTTCTTTTCGAACAAGCCTCCAAACCAACCGAATCTAACCAATCCAACAATTCAAAATAAGCTTTAGAAACCACCACAAATGAAAAAGGTTCAATCTTTAGCTAAATTGAAAAAGTCAACAAAAGTCAACCCCGGGCTCGCTTGTCAAAATTCGATATTCGGACCAAATTTCGATTATCCATTCACCCTCAAGCCCGACTATGAGAGTTGTTTTGAAATCCAACCCTAATTTGAGGTTGGATTTCAAAACAACTCACAAGGTCTAAATCTCAATTTTACAAAATCCTTAAATTCTACCCAAAATCCCTAATTTCTACCATGAAATACATATATTTGATGTTAAAAATTCATGAAAAGTAATTAGAATTGATTAAAAACTAGATAAAGATGCTAACTAATGAGTTTGGGAAGAAAACGTTCCTCAAAAACCGCCTCTAGAATGATTAGGATTGAAATATGGTGTAAAATGAGCTAAGTCCCGAATTTTCAAACATTTACCCAGCTGCAGATGTTGTTCGCAATTGCGATATCCGCAAATGCTACACATTGATCGCAAATGCGATCAGTGCATCAGACCCACTGTAGTCGCAAATGCGACATATTTTTCACAAATGCGACCAGCCCCCAATCGCAAGTGCGAATAAATGCTTCGCATATGAGAAGCTGTCCTAAATGCTCAGGGGTCGCAAATGCGACCATAATATTCTCAAATACGAATGCCCAAATCCGCAAAAGTGAACTTACCTTCGCAAATGCGATGACACCCAACCCAGCCCCTTTATCGCAATCCATTGGCAGCAAAAGTGAGCTCGCAAATGCGAGATCTACAGACCTACACCAACAACACCTACTACCATCCATTCCAAAACTTCCCAAAACACATCCGAAACTTCCCTGAGACCAACAGGCTCAAAACCGAACATGCACCTAAGTGTAATAACATCCTACAAACTTTCTCGCTACCTCAAATCATCAAAATAACATCAAATAATAAGAATCGATCAACAAAACTCAAGAATTTCAATTTTCACAATCTTTCACATAATGCGCTATGCGTTCGGTTACCCCAAACTCCAACCAAATGTGCGTACAAGTTCAAAAATATCATACAAACCTACTAGAATCGTCAAAACACCGATCCGAGGTCTTTTATCAAAAATATTGACCGTGGTCAACTCTAGCCTCATTTTAAGTCAAAAATCATATTTTCTTTTAAATTTCACATAAAAGCTTTCTGAAAAGCGACACGGACCACATATACAAATTAATAAACATCAAATGAATCTATGGGGGGTCTCGAAATAGTAAAATTAAGGCTATTACTCAGAACGACCTATCGTATAGTCGCATAAATGTATACAATTAATGGATATCAAATCGCATACTCATAGACCGAAGAAGATAACATGCTAAGGTATATGCATGTGCGAGTGTATAACTACATCTGAGATCAGGCGTATGCGCCATATAATAGCAAATATCATGCTCAAATAGGGAATCAACACTTACATATGATCTCTAGCATGATTCACAGAGTTTATGTAGTCATACAAACATATAAATCATGATAGCAAGAAACACAATATCCAAATCAAGGAATAGCACAACCTAAAGACTATTCCAGTCATGAATCATACATAACACTCATATATATGCTCGTCACCTCACATATATGTTGACTTTCACACTTTTCAATTAGGCAAACAATGTCATATCCTAAGGGTTATTTCCTCAACAAGATTAGGCAAGATACTTACCTCGTCCAGCTAGCCTTCAACCACAAATCGCGTAGAAATCTTGCTCTAGCCCTCCAATCACGTAAATCCAAGCCAATCATCAACCAAGGAAGTCAAACAATATTATAGAAAGCGATCTCAATCCTTAAAGCTTTGATTTTTGAAAAATTCCAAAAAGTCAACACGGGGTCGCGTGCCCGAAATCCAGAATTAATATTGGAATTCGATGACCATAATCTGCCGAGTCCAAATATACGATTAGATCCAAAACTGAGTCCACATCGATTCTCAAATCCCCAAAATACACTCACTTAAAGTATAGTCAAAACCCCAAATTCCATCTCAAAATTCTATATTTTGGGTGTTAATAATTCATGTAGATTTTTGAAATAATACAAAAAATAAATAGAAATTACTTACCCCAAAGTCTTGTATGAAAATCTCCAAGCAAAATCGCCCCTCTCCAAGTCTAGAGCTCAAAATGTAAGAGAAGTGATTCAAAATCTAGAAATAACATCCTAAATACACTGCCCAATAGTACCCTTCGCGAACGCGACCTTTGCTTTGCGTTTGCAAAGCACAAACCAAAGCTACTGACCAAATTCACTTCGCGATCGTGGCATTAACCTCACGATCGCAACATCAACCTCACGATCGCGATAGCCTACACCCCCCCCCCTTCGCGAACGTGAAGGCAAAATTCTCCCCTGCCTGCTTTAACTCCTCGCGAACGCGACAACCACTCGCGAACGTGATACCCCTGGAACCAGCACTATGCGAACGCGACACTTTCTCGCGAACACAAAGAGCAACAAACCTAGCACCAAACATGCACTCCGTGAACGCATCGCTTTGACCGTGAACGCGAAGCACACTAACACCTGCTAAAAACCAGCAACTCCAACCATCACCAAAATGGTCCGAAACCACCCCGAATCACACTCGAGGCCCCACGGGACCCCATCCGATCATACCAACAAGTCTAAATACATCATCCAAACTTATTCGAAGGCTCGAAACATTATAAATAACATCAAAATCAAGAATCGAAGATCAAAATCGTTCCTTTAACTTTTAAACCTGCAAATTTGTCGAACGCGTCCGAAACACACTTAGACATTCCAGATCACAACCAAACTTTAGACTTTCCAGATCACAACCAAACTTTACACACAAGTTCCAATCAACTAAATAAACCTAATAAAATGTCTCAAAGCCACAATAAGAGTTTGATAATACCAAAGTCAACTCCTGGTAAAACCTATGAACTCTCCAATTTTTCAAATTGCCAACTTTCGACAAATAAAGCCAAAACCTTCTAGGAACATTTAAATCCCAACATGCGCCCCGGTTCAAAATCATCATACGAAGGATTCATCAAATTACCAATCTGAGGGCGATTACTGAAAATCAACCGTTGGTCAATTCTTGCAATTTAAAACTTCCAAATTGAGAATCACTCTATCAAATACATCCTGAACCACTCGAAAGTCAAAACTAACCATGCGCGCAAGTCATAATAAACTGTGTGAGGCTGCTCACAGTCGCAAATCAAAGAACGAAATACTAGAACTCAAAACGATCATTATACGAGCTTATTTGGATTAATATTTGAATGGTCATTTCTTCAATCTAAAAAAACGAAAATCCAAATTGAAATTTTTATATTCCATCCAAACTGTCCAATGCCCGCTCCTACATGTTATTCTTTAGTTCGCAGGCATTAACTATTTAACTTATTTAAAAAAAAGAAAAAAAAACCAATACCTATCTCGCGGAGGTGCTTATTCAGCTACGTGTGTGTGTCACGGAAAAGATGGCGAAAGGGGCCCCGTAGATCCTCGATACGTTGTATCTACAACACCGGGAATTGGCTGTTATGTCTTTAATATGTAAAAAACTCCCTACATGTGTACCTTTCTTGTCTTTTCTCGCAGTACTGAAAAAGGCTTTTCCATATCTTTTGAATTTGGTTTGAAGTGCTGGAAGTTGTAATAGGGTTCGACAGATCGTCAGCATTGTGTAAGTTCTTCACTTTTAGAAATTACCAGTTCTTTATTTGTGTAAGAATAATTAGATTTTATCTGAAAGTGAGAACAGATCTTCATTCTTCAGTTTTGGATCTCTTTTCTTTTTGCCTGTTTGTGAAGGTGTTACTTTGCATAGGTGATATCGTTCATTATTTGGTGCTTTTGTTTGTCTTGAAGTGGTTTTTGGGAAAGGGTTTTGTATGTTAATTCCAGTTCTGAATTTTGTATTTAATTGTTACTTTTAAGTAATGGAAAGCAATTAATTTATGATCAGGAAATATGATGCCAGGGAATAGTTGTTTTGATTTGCAAGGCTCCATGAGGGCTAATCATCAACAGCTTCAGCATTATCAGTCTCATTCGAAACAAGGGGCAATTAATGCAAATTTCCCCCTCACTATAGGTAGTATGCAGCAGGACTGTAACCAGAATATTTCTTTGGCTGATCATAGTAAAGGCGAGAGGGGTAAGTCTGCAAGTGATGAAGATGAACCAAGTTTTACTGAAGATGGTCTCAATGACCTGAATAGGGGAAAAAAGGCAACCCCATGGCAGCGTGTGAAATGGACCGATCAGATGGTGAGGCTGTTGATAACTGCTGTTTCTTACATAGGCGAAGAGACTGCTGCAGAGTATGGTGGAAGAAGAAAATGCTCTAATTTGCATAAGAAAGGGAAATGGAAGTCAGTGTCAAAAGTCATGGCTGAAAGGGGTCATTTTGTTTCACCTCAACAGTGCGAGGATAAATTCAGTGACCTAAACAAGAGGTACAAAAGACTCAATGAGATCCTTGGCAGAGGAACTTCCTGTGAGGTAGTTGAGAATCCTGTTCTTTTGGATATGCTGGATCACGTATCAGAGAAAGGAAAGGAGGAAGTTAGGAAAATCTTAAGTTCAAAGCATCTGCATTATGAAGAGATGTGTTCCTACCATAATGGGAACCGCTTACATCTGCCCCCAGACCTTGAACTGCAGCGTTCATTACGCTTGGCTCTTACAAGTAGAGATGAGCATGATGACAATGATGTTAGGAAGCACCTGCAAGATGACAATGATGAAGATGATCACGAAACTGACATGGTGGAGGATGAGTATGAAGAGAGTCATAGCTTGCCTAGGGAGCACAGGTTACATGGGATGTCAGGAGGTTTTTCAAAGAGGATAAAACAATGCCAGGGTCATGAAATTGTTACTTTTGGTAATTCCTTGACTACTCTCGATGGTAATAGGACTTTCAGTTCTCAACCTCAGAAGGCAAACACTGATGCCAATCAAATGTTTTCCGAAGGCAACAAAGCTGATATTCTGCAGAAACAGTGGATGGATCATCGTTCGTTTCAGCTAGAAGAACAGAAGCTACAAATTCAGGCGCAAATGTTGGAATTGGAGAAAGAGCGTTTCAATTGGAAAAGATTTAGCAGGAAAAAGGACATTGAATTGGAAATGATGAGAATGGAAAATGAGAGGATTAAACTTGAGAATGAATGTATGGCATTGGAGTTGAAGCGAAAGGAAATGCTTGCTGACAATGTTTAGGCTGTTGCAGTTGCGAATGCTTAGCTGTATCAGGGAGTGTGCATCAAAGTTTACATTTCTTAGGGAAGAAGGAAAACCACCTCAGAATCAGGTCTTTTTATGATATTAACTGTACAAACTGCAAATTACTGCGTTGCCCAATGTCGGCTAATGCTCTTGCATGTATTCTAGAGCTAGCAGTTATCCTTGTAAACTTGGTTGATGGCTTCTGATTGTATATTTTGAAAAGAGATCAATCCTGTAACTCTCTTGGGTTTTAGTTTGTCCTTTCTCTTAATGACTGTATATGTCTTGCTTACCGTCTAAAAATGATATGCTTGTTGCAGGGTCCTCTTCAGAGCTGGTTCTAGGAAGTCCTCATTAGTTTTATCTGCTGATGTTTCTTACACACTATCAAACATAGCTCTATCATTGAGGAACTAGTGTGTGCATCGAATTTTCCTTTTTTTTAGGGCAGAAGGAACACCACTTCAGAATCATGTTTTTCCTGCTATATTAACGGTACAAACTGCTTATTTAATGCTTCTCTCAATATTGGCTAATGTTCTTGCATGTATTTCAAATATAGCATTTGTATGTTGGCTAATCCTATTGTATGGATTTCAAAGCTAGCGTCTGTATGTCGGCTGATACTGGTTCCTGGACTTAAAAGCTAGCAGTCCTCTTTGTCATTCTAGTTGATGGGCTTCTAGTTCTATGTTTCGAAAAGGGATCTCAATCCTGTAAATCCATTGGAATTTTAGTTTGCTCTTTTCTTAAAGACAGTATATCTCTGGCGTACCATCCATTGGTGATAAGCTAGCTGCAGGATCCTTTATGTAGCTGTCTCCAGGAAGCCCTCATTTAATCCTATCTATTAATATTTTCTACACCCCATCAAATACGGGTTTGTTTGAAGAATGTGTGTGATTTTCTTTTACATGACCTGAACTGTTGTCTTAAATTCCTTATTTAGGTTTTGATTTAAATATAACATCGTGGAGTGTGATGAAAGAACCTTTGGCATTTTAAAAAAGTTTACAGTTTATTGACTCCAAAAAGGTAGCAGGCTGAGGCAAGACATTTGAAAACTCAGAATGGTGTCAATTTGATGGGGCTGTTTTAGATTCCTGGTTGCCCAATCATATAAGTAGTTGACAGTATTAACATATTGCTGTAAAGTTTCACTTTATGTGTCATCTCTGTCCCTGGAATTTCCAACTCCCTATAACAACACTATAGCAGGGTGTTTGACCTCTTAAAGTAGCTTGCTAGGGATATTTTAAGGCAGTACCTTACATATATAAATGGCTTTTCCATTTGTGGTCTTCTGAGAAGCAAATTGTACTCATCTTGGAGTTTTGCAATGGAAAAGTTCATATTGGTGGATATACAAGGTATAATTTGATTATTTTTTCTTTCCTTATAAAAAAGGTATCATTTGATTACTGATTTATTCATTTCTTTATCCAATGTTGCTTCTGCTCTTAATTTCTCCAAGTTGATGTGTTTTGGTTTGAAGGGAAGTATTTGAAGATCTTTCTGGAAGTGCGGAAGTGTTTTCTTCTTTCGAATATCAGGTCAGTCATTTATTGAATTTTCATCTTTCGAATATCAGGTCAGTCATTTATTGAATTTTTGTTTGTAAAAAATATTTGTTATCCTTGGTTATTAGTATAAGTTATTACCTTAGATCTACCTCCTTTACATTATAGTTTAGAATATCAAGTTATCATCTTGGACTAGTGTCGTTCTTTGTTTCTTTCTAGGGTACCCCTACTCTCCGCCCCCCTAGCTCAATGCAGCGGGGAGAAGTTCTTTAGTAATGGGTGAGGGGATGAGAAAGTGATGGAGCATGAAAATGTGCGATCTCTTTCTGGAGTGCACATATAGTTTAACAAATAGCATATATACGAAAATCACTATACACTTACGAACATGAGTTCCATGTATCGATTTTGTATGACAAAGGTAGGCTAACTCTCATTGTTCCCACATTACCTTTTTTAACACAAAGAAGGTCAATGAGGGACACTCCCATGGGTCTCATTGAGCATATACATGAAGGTGAGACAACAAGTGGCTTTCCTAAGGGCTAAGGCTATGGACCTTGGCATTCACACCTTTGTTGAGTAGTCACATGTTTTAACTGAGACAATCTCTCATATCCCATATCTTCTGTATATTTAATAGGAAAAGTCTTTCTTTATAAATTGAGTGTTCTATTTTGTCATAATGAAAACTACAATGACTAAGTGTTTCACTAAAGCTTAACATAAAGGCAGAAACATGATGGCAAAATTGCTACTAATATCATATTGAAACACAGAAAGCTGTGTTCTAAATTAATTGATGCAAGAATTAACATATACAAACAGTATTACATATCTAAAGAAGGAACAATGATAGCCAAATAGTACAAGTACAATTTTACTTTGTCTTCAAAAAGCACGAGTACAATTTTTCACCAAAAGCATGTAATGCAGAGAGCATTTATAGGAGTGATTTCGAATAGAAAAGACGAAACAACTATGACCAAATGGTGTAAACCTTTAGAAGCAGGAGAAGTCATAAAAGCTATTTTCTCCTTCAAACCCTTTGGAGAAAAGGACGCCCAATGGCCCTCAAATTTTTTTATTAGCCTATATTTTTCCTATCGACCCGAAATGGCCTTTAAGTCCAATTTATTGACAAGTTATAGCCACTATTTTCAATGCATAGATTTTCCTCCTCTTGGGCCGCCAATAGCTCATTAAATTGAACTCAATCTAATGATCAATGAATAAATAGGGGTAAGAGTTATTCAATTGTGGAATAGTAACAAACTATTTCCTTTTTTTTTTGGATGTATTTGAAGCGATTTATTAAGTATGTAGCCTCTCATCCCCTCCCCCAAGAAAAAATTCGATCAATTCACACTCTCACTATATAAGTTATTATAGTATAAATAATTTTGTTTTTTACTATTTCGCAAATGAAGAAAATATAAGGGGTTGTACTAGTTGAAGTGGCCATAATTTTTTAATTTCTATCAATCCCTCTATGTAAAAACCCTCTTTCTCAGGTTTTCTTTTGTTTTAAGATAGTATCGTATGAGAACACGAAGAAGAAGAAGACAGAATAAAAAAAAAAAAAAGGGAGACGTAAATAATAATAAATACACAAATACCATGCGACCATTATTTGTAGATGAGTGGCAACATTTCTCAGAAAAGTATGATGGCCGCAAAAGAAGAAAATTGTGCGGCCATTGTTCCAAAATCAATATCAATCATACGTTGAAAATTTGTCTATTTGCAGGATAAAAAGAGCTAACCTAACAAAGTCGAGGACATTCGTTAGTCTTGTACCTAAACCCTCAGTGTCCTGTCATTATCTTCTCTTTTAATTGTGGTTGGAAGATACAAGTATAATTTCATATAAAAGTTTTATATATACATTGTATAAAAGGTATATATACATTGTTATATGTATATACATTGCATTCTGTATAACAATGTGTATAACTATTATATATAGACTGTTATATAGTGTATAAAATTTATATATACACTATTATACATTTTATAATTTTTTTTATATAAAGTGTAAATTAAATTTTGCAATGTATCCCTAATGTATCGTTAATGTATTTCTGTGCACTTTTATGTATCCAAAGTATATAGACTGTTCAACGATGTATAAAATGTATATATTATTCTACGATATATAAAAATTGTATATACACTATTATACATTGTATAAAGTTTGTATATAAAGTATATCATGCATTTTGCAGTGTATTCCTAATATATCATTAATGTATCCCGAGTGTTTTGTGTATTGTATATACTGTTCTACGATATATATATATATATATATATATATATATATATATATATATATTATGTATAAAAAATATACATAATGTAGAATGTGTGTAGAGAGTGTACAATGCATACATCACCTTCTTCTTCTTCTTTTTATATTATGGATATTTTTGCATATACAATATCACATACTTTTATTGGCGGGTCAATTTGAGCAAATCCAAACTAGCCAATTTATAAGCTTGGGTCATTAGCAGTTTATATAGCCCAATAATTGACCAGTAAAAAGAAAAGCTTATCAAAACATTAAAAAGAAATTTGTGTATTTATTCGGTTAGATATAGTATGAAAGAATTAAAACTCTGTTAAAACAAAGAAACTTTTGCCGGTTTGATTAGATTTAAACATATTATAAAAGAACAAACAAACAAATGAAAATTAATGTTGGATTGGGTACTTTCAAATAAAAGGGTAAGTTATGAAACATGTTATCCTTGTAGCTTGGAACTAGAATTAAAAGAACAACTCAAATAAAAGACAAAACAAACGGAATATAATAGTACAAAGAAGATAAACTCGAGCCATTATAAAAGAGCGATTTTTTGTCAGCATGCGGTGGATTTGGGCTACCCGTTATAATTTGTTTGGGGCTATGAATTGTTTAACTTAATTTATGGCTACCGAATGCCATTTATTTTCACCGCCGGCTAAATGTGAACATAGCCCAACCCTTTAAAGCTCTTGGGCCCATGGATTTCACCTTTTTTTAAATAAGAAATACTGACATATTGTAGGACCTCCTGCTATTCAATTTGCAGAAATGTTTTTAATACTCAACACCATCTTTGTCTAATTCCACTTGCAAATAAAATCTGCCCCTTTCTCAACACCATTATCAGTCCCTTCCAGTCAACTTTTATTAAGGATAAGAGAGCTTGAGACCATTGTTGTTCAGGAAATTATCTCCAAATTTTGGAAAAGGAACGGTTCTAAAGCAGATAAGATTTTAAAAATAAATTTTGAAAAGGCTTTTGATCGTCTAGAATGGTTCTTCATTTTCCGTATCCTTCACTATTTTTAGTTTCTTCCCTTGCTAACGAAACTTATCATGAACTGCATTAGCTCAAGTAGTATATCAGTACTGGTTGATGGGAACATCAGTAGATACTTCAACCCTAGCAGAGGTATTCGACAGGGATATCCTACGTCTCTATCCATCTTTATCCTTTGTATGAGAATATTTTCACGTCTTATTTGCCACCAAGTTGATATCAGAAAATGGGATCCTATAAGAATTGGCAGGAGAGGGCTGGATATCTCCCATATTTTCTTTGCAGATGACCTCACTCTTATATGAAAAGTGAATATGAAGAGCTGTTAAACTATTTTTAGTAGCCTGTCTATGTCTTATAGATAAATCAGAAATCCTCTTCTCTAATAAATGTTGCTCTCAAGTTGCAAAAGAGGTAGCAAATCTATTAGGTATTAATGTTAGTAACTCCTTTGGCAAATATTTGGGTTTCCCTATCTTGCCTAGGAAACCCAAGGCGTCGGACTTCCAGTTTATTATTGATAGAATGCACACTAGACTAGCAAACTGGAAAACTAAATTCTTAAATATAGCTGGCAAGGCTACATTGGCACTTTCCACCTTTAATGCAATTCCTAGTCATTACATGCAATATACGTCTTTCCCGCAAAACATTATTCAACAAATTGATAAAATTCAAAGAGATTTTATTTCGGGAGACACTGATGAAGCCAAGCGCCTACACCTTATTGGTTGGAATGCCATTACTAAGCCTAAAGAAGAAGGGCTGGGATTAAGAACTATTAAAGCTAAGAATACCATACTCCTTAGTCATTCCATAGCTCCCTGGGCAAATGCCCTTATTACTAAGTATGTCTCTTGGAAGTCTATGTTAACTACTTTCTTTGTGTGGAAGAGCATTTTAATAGGCTGAAATTTGTGTGCTAAAGGAATTTTATGGTCCCCTAGTCGAAACTCTAAATTGGACATTTGGCACTTCAGATGGAATTCCTTTCCTCCCTGCTCTTAGGAATTGTATCGAGGGTCCCCTAAATAAGAATGATTATCTAATTAAAATAAAGGATCTCTCCTATAACAACACATGAGATCTTTCAAAGCTCTCCTTTGAACTACCAAAAGAAATAACTGACAGAATTAACACCCTTACTCTTCCTATTCATAAAAATGTTTGTGACATGCCTCTAAACTCCTAATAAAAATGGCATCTTCACCACTAAATAATGCTTTAAATTGTCAAGCTACTGAGAAAAACTTCATATGGATTTAGAAGTTACATTGCCCAATATATGGTAATGCTCCCGAATCTTACTTTTAGGATCGTGATGACACCTAGTCTCTAATACTAGGTAAATCTAGTACATGTTGAGAATTTAATAAAAATAAACGACTAAGATATTAATTTAAACTCATAAATGACATAATAAAAGCCCAAACAGAACAACAGTCATACAATCCCAAAATCGGTAATACATAGTCATAAGCTCTACTGCGAGTTCACTAGAAACCTCTGGTATAATATTGTTCGGAAATAAAAGAAACATTAGCATATGATCACTAGAAGGTGACTCCTAGGCCTGCGAGCGTCAAGCAGGTATACCTTGAAGTCTCCGCAATGTCTGAATCAACTCATTAGTGTTCGACATGGGCAGAGGTACCTGAATCTGCACATAGAATGAACATACCACAACGGTACCCAATAAGTATCAAGACTAATATCAGTGGAGTAGTGGCAAGGTCAAGTCAATACACTCACTAGACATATAAACTTGTGTAGAATGTAAATATAAAGCTAACAACCGAAAGTAAAAGCAATAAATGATAACAAGGCAGAATATTAATATAAGGCTAACCACAAAAAGTAAAAGCAATAAATGACAACAAAGAGTTAACATATGCTAAAAATAACAAATAATAAAAAATAATTAAACATAAATCAAAGGAAACAATAACCGTTCAAATAAAATGGCCGTTCCAACATAGAATGTACAACAAAAATCACCCCGAGATACCACACCTCATAATCACATTTCACAAGCCACAAATCACAAATCTTCCATGTATCTCCGCGTGAGCCTTGCATTTATTTTAAAAATATTTTTTCCAAAATAGCTTCACGCGCTTTAGCCCCCTTATCTCGCCGCATGTGCTTCAAATGAAGTAATTTCCCTTACTAGCAACACACGCATAAATTTCTCTTATCTTGCCGCATGCACATTAATATCACCACCCTTATACCGCCGCATGCGCATCTCATCACAACACAATAATCAACTCGAACCGCACGTGCCCATATGCCTCAACATTGTCAAAACAACAATACCAATACCACAACAATGCATAGCCCGCGGCTCAACAACAATGTATACAAAAGTCTCAATAATAACACAATAAAAAGGAAGAATAAACTCAACAATGAAAGAAATTCCATGTAATAACAACTTCAATTGAATGCATATAAGAATAAACTCGACAATGAAAGATATAACATATAATAACAACTTCAATTAAATGCATATAAGAATAAACTCGACAATGAAAGATATAACATGCAACAACAACCTCAATTAAATCCATATAAGTAACCTAAGAGTCTAAACCGGTCAATTTCTACATATAAGCCAGTGTACACACTCATAACCTCATGTACACATCTTTCACATAATTCAAATAATACAATTAAACCAAATCCTACGGGGTAGTCCCCCCCTCCCCCCC